CCCGTTAGGCCCATTGGGCTTTTTTTTGAAAATTAATTTGGGCCACATCTCATAGTGCTAGTCACGTGGTGATTTATTATGTAACTGGCACTTTTAGGATGTGGCTCAAATTAACTTTCCAAAAAAGCCCAATGTGCCTAACGGGCTGGCCCATGCCAGACCCTAAATATAAGACCTAGCCATTACTATTTGGAGAGGGTGACAATATTGGTTTTTATATATAAAACCAATTTTTAATATTATTGGCTAATAATACAAATTTCTAACTATTTTGGGATTCTGTGATTGTATTTTAATGATTTTAGACTTGTTGGAATTGTCTCTTTGAGATAAATATTTGGTAGTTAAATCATTCAAAATAGACTATTATCTGACAAACTCATATAATCATAGTGTAGCAACTGACTGTTATTTTTAAACGTTTGATGACATATTGCCGAATATTAAATTTTTGTAAAAATATCACAATAATTGGGCTACAGGCATTTAAAATTGTATTAATTTGGGTAACAATGCAAGTAATAAAAGCAACTAAACACATTTAAATCAAAGTTTTACATTTTTAAACTTTACAAATTAAAAGTACAATTGTGAAAAGTATTTTCTGTAAGAAATCGTTCAAGAAATTCTTTATTTTTAAAATCTTCAATGCCCTTTTTTCGATCATCCTTTTTAAGGATATTTGAATCATGCTCAGCCAATATATTACTTGGTTCATTGGCAGAAAATTCAAGACCATCAAGAGCATTTGCCAATGATACTTGCGAATCGGTTCATTGAACAAATGATATTTGCAAATCAGTCTTTTGAACAAACGAACTTGCAAGTGCAAAATTACCAGCCACTAGTGCCACTTTTTGATAACCTTTAACCTTATTATAGTCACTGGGGCTTTGTTGTCATTATTGTTAGCGGGGGCTTCATTGTCATTGTTATTACCAGGAGCTTTGTATAAAGAAAAAAAAAATATTGAAAAAACATTCAAAATTACAATTGCCTAAATAAAAATTTTACCTTTTGAAATCTGTTTGAGTGCATTGAAAAATCTATTTAGACCTTCATGCTGCATTACAGATTTTGGACATTCATATGCTGCAAGACCTTTTTGAGACTTATGTTTCATAATCAACATTACAATGGAATTGGAGTATTCAAGCTCCTTTAAAAGTTGTACTGTGGTTTTTCTTTTAGAGTGATTCAATATATTATGTGTTCTTATTTGAATATTTGTCGTTTCACATATTTCCTGAAAATATTCTTTTAATTTTTGCTCATCTAGAGTATACACATAGTACTATTGCCCACAAAACTCTACTAATAAATTGAAAAGAAGTTAATAAACAAAACTTCTCATCTGAAAAATCAGTTAACAAATATAAAAATATTATCCGATTTTAAAGATATTTATTTTAGATAGAAATTTGTTATAGCTAATGTTGGGCATTTAGTAAAATACAATTCATAATTTTCAATGATGCTTTTGTTATTTGGTAAGCTGATAACTTCAGCCTGAGCATCATAATTATCAAACCCTTGTTGATTCATTTTGGACCGAAACAACTTGACATCAATTCCTCCATCGACCCTTTTAAAAAAATTGTTAATCTCCAAAGAATAATGTTCATCACCATGTAGTGCTAACAATATAGCATTATAAAAAAAATCCTTCGAAATAAGCCTTCTGGCGTATTACGTTGCATCGTGAGGTAATTCAAGATTAGCTCAACCTCATTTAACGTCAGTCCATCAGCACTGACATGTCCCCCAAGCCTTTTGCAGAAAGTTCCTTCACTTTATCATTAACCACCTGGTTCAGATCGAAGTACACCTTTGGATTAAGTATATCTATGGGTTTTTCTATCACTGAATACATGTTGAGGTGCCTCCAAATAGCTGCTATACATCTCCTTATGGAGCTTGTGCGATATTCTTCACCATTCTGTTTCTTCATTGCACAAACGAACTTTGACAACTGATCTTTCAAGACCGTTTTTGAGTTTACTTCTTTGATCTTTCTTTCAAACCCGACATCAGATTGAAACTTTTTCAGAGCTTTGATCCACATTTGCGTTGCTATGTGAGATATTTTAACCTTTGTATTTTTCCAAATTTCTTTGAGTTCATTTACAGTTGGCTCTGTATATTTAACTTGCTAATAGAACAATATGTTAATATAGTTTTTTATATTGAAAGCAAAAACTAAAAAATTCCTAGAACTATTATTATTACCTTAGCAGTGCCAACTTTCTCTGCTACTACTTTCTTTTTGAGCATAGTTTTATGCTTAATTAGGCTTTACTGTTATAGCTTACTGGGCTTTGCTATTATAGATTTACAGTAATGGATTTACTGTTACGTTGTTACAACGTTACTGTTATGGCATTATTGTATTAACTTTATTGTGATTTTTCACTTTACAAGTAAATTATAAAGTTAAATTTATTAAAAGACCTCATCATTGCCGTAATCATAAGTATTAACTTACTTTAATTCAACACAACCAAGATTTCAACATTAATAATCCAACACCAAGACTTCTATCACTAAGACTTTCACCACATCAACTTATAGCTTTCAACTACAGAACTAACCAGAATTTAAAATGAGTATCAAGATATTTTTTTATAAAAAAAAATTTTTTTTTTCGTTTTAAAAAAGAGATTTAAATACTGATCTACAATATATTTTTTTTTAGGTCTAAAATTATATTTATAGAGGGGAAGGATTGGGCGCCATGATTATAAATTATTATATAATGCCATTATTGGGCAAATTTGTAAATACGGTAATTTGCCCGGTTTAGCCAAATTACCATTATTCACAAATTTTTGTCCAATAATGTATACATATATCAAATATTATTTAATATTAAGTGTATTTATATAGTAATATTAAAAGTTAATAGTAAATTTATACAAAATTTTAATTATTTTAGAGCCTTGTGATTAGATTTTAATAATTTTGGATTCATTAGAATCGTTTTATCGAGCTAAACATTTTGGTAGTAAAATTATTTAAAATGAAGTAGTATATCAAAAGTTATTAGCAATTCCATAAATTATATTGCTAAATTAGAAGAAAAAAATAGATATAGAGATGTAATATCCAATATACCCAAATTAGCATATGATAGTTTACTTTTATATCAACTTAAGAAATATAATATACAAGCTGTACACATATTAAACAATTGCTACAGCAACCAAAAACAAAGAGCCTATATATATTTTAAGTCAGAGAAAGACTTTATACAAGTACAGGAATATTGTCTATATTATTACAACGCCAAACTAGAGTAGTATATATATAGGTTATCTAGATAAAAAAAATTATCTAGATATGCAATTTCATTACAAAAAAGAAGCTCAAATTAACAACAAAAGAAAAAAACTAATAAATGAAACTGAACTATTAAGAGTACAAAAAGCCACTAGGAGTTATAATACAAACAGACAGAGTAGCAGAGCAAATGGTAGCTCAAGTATATATAATAATACAGAAAAAGTCTAAGAGAGATCTAAAAACATTAGTGCAAGTAATTATGAAAATATGCCAAATAAAATTATAACAAGATCTCAAACCATTTTCAAAAAACCTCTTAAAAGTATAGAGAATATATATATAACTGACTCAAATAGAATAGAACTAGCTGGTGAAAAAAAGAAATATAAAGCTCAAAAGGCCAAGGCAAACCAAGAGCAAAACCTTTGAAGTCTCTTAAGTAAAATGAAAGAAAAATTTACAAAATTAGAGTAGCAGATTGCCCAGTACTTCTAAAAGTACCCATAGTTAAACTATAGATAAAAGGGTTAAAAGACATCTTAAAGCCAGAAAATTTAGGCCAAATCAACAAAATAGATAAGAGTTTCAAACAATTAAAATTAGATTTTTATAATATAAATAGTCTTAAAGAGAATAGAACAAAACTGCAAGAGCTTATAGATTTTGGTATAGAGAAAAATTTAAACATTATAAAGATAACAGAAATAAATATTAATGCAAGGGATGCAGGTTTTATTAAGATAAATTGGCAGTATTATAGAGCTTTTTGAACTAAAAACAATATAGAAAAGAAAAAAGATTCAGGTATAAAAATACTAACTTTACAGAAACTAGCTATTTTTTTTCAATGAAGTTAAAATTATCTTAATAATATTAATAAATTTTTTAATAATTATAAGATTATTTTACAATAAATTTTTAATGTAAAAATTTTAAAATTGTTCTAAAATTATTTTAAAACTATTATTTAATATTATTATAAAATTATTATAAAATTGTTATAAGATTATTATAAAATTATTATAAAATTATAATAAGATTATTATAAAATAATTATATAATAATTATAAAATAATTTTAAAATTATTTTAAAATAATATATTATAAAATTATTATAAGATTATTATAAGATTACTATAAGATAATTATAAAATAATTTTAAAATAATTTTAAAATAATTATATAGTAAAATTATTATAAGATTATTATAAAATTATTATAAGATATAATTTTAATAATTGTATTAATATCTTTAAGATTATTTTAACTCCATTGAAAAAAACAGCTAGTTTCTGTAAAGAATAAAGAAGAAATAGTAAACTTATCTAACTAAAATAGTATACAAAAATACATATATACTGAAAACAGTATTTAGATTTAAAAAAACAATAATAGTTATTTGGATAGTGTATTTTTCTCTAAATGATAAAGATATTTAGAAAAAGATTTAGCAATATTTAATAGAAAATATTACTAAAAGTAGCTTAAATACAAAAGTATTAATAAGAGAAGACTTTAATGCTAAATTAGAATCTCATATAGGGGGAGTCAATAGAAATAGAACAAATTTATTAGATAGATTTGTCCTATTTCTATTGACTCTCCCCATATATCTCTTAGTTAAAATATAGATAGAAGCCCCTAGAATACAAACATAGCAAACTATCCTACTAAAATGGTTTCAAAAAGTAAAATTTGCAGAATTTTATCTTCTACAAACTTTTAAAGCAACCTGGTCTAATAACAATCACTACTTGAAAATAAACCACATATAGTTAGAACCTATATTAAAAGAGTTTATAATAAATAGTAATATTGAAGATATGGATCTGGTAACAAGTAGTGACCACAACCTAACATAGGCAAAATTGTTTCTAAGCTCTATTTTTCACTTCAATTCGGTTGCCAAACAATGCAAAAAATACTCTAGATAGTGTAAAATTTATCTTTATAACAAAATGTCGAATAAAGACTAGGAAAAGTTCACAATACTCTTAGAAAAATATTTGGAAAATGAACAAAACAAAGTAAAAACAAAAAAGTTAAAACTCACTTCACAATCACAAAATATCTAATAAATAAAAGATAGGAAAGGTTTACTAGCTACATAACACTAGCAGCTAACAAATAGTCTCTTTAAGGAAATTAATAATATACTAGAAGAAAGACAGAAGCAGTTTATCTGAAAACCAAAATATAGATGGATCAAGCAACTTAAAAATATAGAGAGAAAAAAGGCCAAAAACTTAAATAATAGAATCAAACTAGAAGATTAATATTCAATAAATATCTAAATTAATCAAGTAAATCTTAGTAATAAAACTAAGATTGAAGAGGTTAAAAATTACTAGACAGAGCAATAAATAGAAAATCTTAGAAGGTGAATAAAAGTAATTAAAAAGAAAATAATCTCAAAACAAAGAACAAAGCAAGATAAGAAAATAAGAGAAAATATAAAAAAACATTTTAGAATAGTTGGCCAGTATGAGAAGAAAATACTAAATAGCATCCTTTAAAGGCTATGATGAAGCATTTGAAGATTTAACTAGATTTCTAAAAATTAAACTAGATAATATAATAGCTTTAAGACATAGAAGTAAAGTTAATTATATGATGAAAAGGTATAATGAATCAATCGCTAACATATGGGTCTGAAACTTTATAGTTTCAGATATTGCCCTCCTAGAACCATGACTAACCTATCTTTCTTTTTCCCGATAACAACCTTTTCCTAATACTACCCTTTCCCAATACTACTCTATACCACCTTTCTTCAATATCACCCTTACCCTTTTTCAATATTATCATCTCCAATACTACCCTTTTCTGATAACTATTCTTTTCCAATATCAAATTTTCTTCTTTCCTCAACACCAATATTATCTTTCCCCAGCATCACTCTTTCTTAATACCACCTTCCCTGTACTATTACTTCGTTGACACACTATTCTTAAAAAGTAAAAATTCTGCATAAATGTAATAATCATACCTTTAAACTTACAAATATCACAAATAAGGACTAAATTACTTGAACGTTTCTTCAATGATTTTGAACAACTTCTTGAGACCAAATATAATTATAATATTATAGTTAAAAATGAAGAGCATTGATATAAAACTAATAAATGTAGCTTACAGCTATTTATTACCTAACTTTCGTAACTAATACCTAATAAAAAATAAATAAATTAATAAAAAAAAAGTTTATATTAAAAATTAAATTAAAAAAAAAGATATCATTAAAAATCATTTTTACTTCTTCAGCTAATAAAATTTTAAGATTACACATAATTTAACTCAATAAATTACATGTGATTATAAAATTTTGATTGGCCGGCAAAATTTTAAATTTTTCAATTATTTAACTTTAATTTAACCAGAATTTTTTTTAAATATAATTAATTAATTATTTATTTATTAATACTTAAATACACCAGAAAATAATTATAGTAGAGGAATATGTTAGTAGTGTGTTTGGAATTATAGAGGTGAGTTATTGTCGAGGAAGTATTTGAGTTAATAAAATAATTGGTGGTTTGGGGGAAGAAGTAGAAAGGTAGTTATCGAGGATAGGATAATTGTTGTGTAAATGCCAGTTAGATAGTTGTTAGATAGTAGCTGTGTTGTAGATGAATATTTAGTTGTTGGGAAATAGTTTTTAGGAAAGAGTTTGTTGGTAAAATGGTTGATTGGTGTTGGGAAAGCGATTATTAAAAAATTAGTTGCCGGGATGCTAAATTAAGTATAAGACAGATTTGTCTTATGCTATATAAACTTAGTTTCAGAATTTTGGCATAGTTTTGAGCAGAGTGTTGGAGTTTCGGTTTTGGTTATTGGCCCAAAATAGTTTCAGGCAGCATTATTAGTTGTAAGTAGTTTTCCAGAAAATTTCAAATGCAAGTGATCTTCATATGTGTAACTGTATATCTAAATTTATATAATGATCTATATTATGCATATTGTTAACTTGTTTATATTTTTTGACCAATTAA